AGTTGTGGCCTTGGGAGGAGGGCGATCGTCTGGGACGCGGGGGCTGCACCACCCCAATTTCCCCAAAACACAACAGGGAGGTTTACGGTACCCGCGGCAGGGGGAGGGGCATTGACCCCCTTCCCGTCCGCCCCCGAAGTGACGGCCGAGTCTTCCCAGGTAAGAAGGGTGCCCTCATTCAGCCCTAACCCCCACCCCCCGACCCAGGGTCGCCGCTGGTTGGAAGCTGGGTCACAGGGAAGGAGGAAAGCCTCGGGTCCAGAGGGAAATGCCGGGGGCTCAGTGCCCCAGGCGCCGGGTTACACGAGAAGGGCCGCCTCTCCTTTCCACGAAGCCCCGTTTCCGCGGGCTCCAAACTTACGGATGGGGCTGGGGAGCCCAGGACGCCCCAAATTCCCGGGGAGCTGCTTGTAGTGGGTGACGGTGCGCGCTTTCCTTCCAGCCCCACCCACTAAACACACCCTGCCTGTCCCCTCCAACTAGCGACCCTTTGACCCCTGGCTGTGTCTGAGGGTGGGGAGGGGAGCCGATGATCTCACAGGAGGACTGGCACAGAGCTGGGGGGCAGACATAGTTTGGGGAGGGCTTACCAGGATCCCAGGTGTGTGTCTTGTGTTCAAGGCCTTTGTAAAATATGTAAATGTGTAAACTATCAAGGAGTCCTGCTCCGATTCCACTGTGTGTGCGCGCGCTCCAGCATGCCCCTGTGCAAGCCCTAAGCTCGCAGACCCCACCCACCCTCACCCCAGCACCTAGAGAGAAGCCCTTTAAGAGCACTGTGTGTAACCCCAAACCTGGAGGGCCCCCATTTCTGGGGGAGACTGCTCCCAGCAGGGCCTGCCCTTGTTCCGGACACCCAGCAGTTTAGCAGTAGAGCTGACCCGGGCTGGTGTGCGCCAAGGCCTGGCTGGTGTTTGGCTGGTGGTGAAATAAGAAAGCCAGGAGGATCCAGAGACAGGAGGTGAGCAGACCAGGGGGTGTTACGGAACCGGAAGGCGACTGGCTCCCAGGAGGAGGCACACGGTGGTGGTAGGGGAGTGTGTAGAACACTGGGATGAGCCTGTCTGCCCAGAGCTGCCCTCTCCTGGGCGTGAAAGGATAGCGCCTTTGTCAGACTTTGAGTCCCTTCCAGAAAGTGGTATTTTTGGGGTTATAGTTAGCATGCATTCCCTGGGGAATGGGCCGTGGAAGGCCTACTCTCAGCCTGTCCCCCGGTGGATAGGGGCCATTCGCGGTGCTTGGAGTCACACCCAGGGCCCTCTCAGACAGGATGGCCACTCTGGAACCGTGGCTGTAGAAATCTACCCTGGGCATAGCCACCGAGGACTCCAGACTTCGTTTCATTTGTAATCTCTGTGAAGCGATCCTGGACGATGTCCTTGCGTTGATTGGAACCCACGTGGTTCCTGCTGTATGTGTTCTGAGGCGTGACCGCTCTACAACGTTGGCATAAATGCAACTGGCTTGTTTTTCAGTAGATTCCTAAAAGCCTCTGTTTGTATTATTAGAGACTAACACCTCTCCCTCCCACCCACCCGCCCCGGGGGTTTTTTTTTTACAAACAGATAGTTTTACTTCTTTCTTTCCTACCTGGATGACTTTTAGTGTGTGTGTGTGTGTGTGTGTGTGTGTGCGCGCGCGCGCGTGTGCGCGCGCGCGCGCGCTACTGCGAATATGTTGGGGGAAGGGCAAAGGTAAATTTCCTTAGGAGTCCCTGGACAATTAGGGTTTGTTCTCTTGGACCTTCTCTTAAGCTAACCTTCCTGAATCTAGGCAGATTGAGTTAAGACTCTCTGTGCTCTCTCCTTTGGCTTGATGTTCAGTTCAGAATCAGATGGTGGGTTTTGCAGTTCCTCAAACAGTTACATACAGAGTTACCATAGGCCCCAGCACTTTCACTCCTAGGTATATACTCAAGAGAATTAAAAACATACGTTCACAGAAAAACTTGTGTATGAATGTTCATAGCAGCATTATTCACAGTAGCCAAAAGGTGGAAACAACCCAAATGTACATCAACTGACGGATGGATAAACAAAATGTTTCTCCATACAATGCAATGTTACTCAGCCATGAAAAGGAATGAAATACTGATGCATGCTA